ATTATTATTACATGAATTGGTCTATCGGACCGAAGTACTCATTCATAGTGGGTCTTATATTTTAATTTATTAATTGGTTTATATCATATATCAAAATTTTATTCCTTCAATAAAATTTTAATGATTTTGATTGATTTGATATTTTAATTTGAATTTTTATTTTGTTGATTTTTACTTTTTTTTAAAAGCAATTCGTTGATTGTTATTATTAGTAATTCATATAAATTACGGTTATAACTTATAAAGTCAATCATATCTAATATTTACTAAAAGTGAAAAAAAAAAGTGTAATATGTTTAAGAGTAGGTTTAGAACTAGCTTTGTTATTAACTATTTGTGTACTTTATAGATTATTTTTTGTTTTTAAAGTTATTTTTTCACCTTTTTTTAATTTCTTTGTTTCTATATATTTGGAAAGAATGAATAATAAAGGGCAAAATAATAATGAAATATTTTATGTATTATGTATAATTGTGAAAATTGAATTTATTTATACTAATAAAAATTTTATCTTTTACTTTTTTTATAATCCCCAAAGGATCTTGAAATAAATCAAAATTATAAAAAAGTTAGAAATACAAGAGTGAAAAAAGAGAGAGGATATTTCATATTTTCATAATCTTTTCAAGTTACTTAAAAACTAATAGTTGATATTATATTTATTATTTTCAACTAATTTAATATTTAAAAAAGAAAAATAAAGTTCAAGTCATTTCAGATTAATTGTTTGGATCATATTTTCATTGATTAAAGTCCAGATAGACAGATTCAGGTTGTTGATTTTTTGTAATCATATCAACTCGAACCAGATGTTTATATTCAAATTATTAACTTTAATAACTCTTAACTATCATATCAATAAAAATTTGAAAAAAAAAAAAGTGTTACTCAATGTAGGTATATTCCTAAAAATCAGAGCAAAATCTTGCATGAGAAGAGGAAGGCGTCCTAAGAAGCTAGTATATGCAATTAATGCCAAAAGCAGCGCAGCGAATATGAGAATAGGTGTGTGTGCGCTTTGGGTTGGGGGTTATCTTACCATCCTCTATAGAGCATGAAAGGCTCATATAGCTTAGCGAGGTGAATGTACAGCTTGATTTTCCTGTATT